TAAGAATTTGAGAAGCACTTTCAATTATTATTATTATTATTATTATTATTATTATTATTATTATTATTATTATTATTATTATTATTATTATTATTATATTATTATTATTATTATTATTATTATTATTATTATTATTATTATTATTATTATTATTATTATTATTATTATTATTATATTATTATTATTATTATTATTATTATTATTATTATTATTATTATTATTATTATTATATTATTATTATTATTATTATATTATTATTATTATTATTATTATTATTATTATTATTATTATTATTATTATTATTATTATTATTATTATTATTATTATTATTATTATTATTATTATTATTATTATTATTAGTATTATTATTATTATTATTATTATTATTATTATTATTATTATTATTATTATTATTATTATTATTATTATTATATTATTATTATTATTATTATTATTATTATTATTATTATTATTATTATTATTATTATTATTATTATTATTATTATTATTATTATATTATTATTATTATTATTATTATTATTATTATTATTATTATTATTATTATTATTATTATTATTATTATTATTATTATTATTATTATTATTATTATTATTATTATTATTATTATTATTATTATTATATTATTATTATTATTATTATTATTATTATTATTATTATTATTATATTATTATTATTATTATTATTATTATTATTATATTATTATTATTATTATTATTATTATTATTATTATTATTATTATTATTATTATTATTATATTATTATTATTATTATTATTATTATTATTATTATTATTATTATATTATTATTATTATTATTATTATTATTATTATTATTATTATTATTATTATTATTATTATTATTATTATTATTATTATTATTATTATTATTATTATTATTATGATTATTATTATTATTATTATTATTAATTATTATTATTATTATTATTATTAGTATTATTATTATTATTATTATTATTATTATTATATTATTATTATTATTATATTATTATTATTATTATTATTATTATTATTATTATTATTATTATTATTATTATTATTATTATTATTATTATTATTATTATTATTATTATTATTATTATTATTATTATTATTATTATTATTATTATTATGTTATTGTATTATTATTATTATTATTATTATTATTATTATTATTATTATTATTATTATTATTATTATTATTATTATATTATTATTATTATTATTATTATTATTATTATTATATTATTATTATTATTATGTTATTATTATTATTATTGTTATATTATTATTATTATTATTATTATTATTATTATTATTATTATTATTATTATTATTATTATTATTATTATTATTATTATTATTATTATTATTATTATATTATTTATTTATTTATTTATTTTTTTTTTTTCTGTTTTTTTTTTTTTTTGAGGTCATAATAGTGGTATTTAGGAGGGTTTCCCGAGGTTAGAGGATTTCAATCATAAAATCTATCCTACACCAAACTCTATCCTACACCAAACTCTTCTTTAGCAGAAAATTGATTCTCTTAATCCCCCGTTCTTCCATCAATTGTTTTTCTAACCCATATCTTCGAAACCTGTATCCAACACCAAAAAAAAAACACCTAATCGCTTTAGGTGTAAAACACACCAATGGAAAATGTGTTAACATCATTTATTGAAAATAAAAATAAAACATAAAGCTTGCGCTCTAGCCACACATTCATCAATTCCATTTCCGGACCCTCGAGGGGTATGGGGCCGAAAACATGGAAACATCTTGCCAAATTGATTCAATTTCTGAATCCGTCACTGCGAAACGTTTCTCAAGAAGGAAATGACGTTGTTACAAAATCATCGAACCATTTAATTCATACTTTGTTTCAAATCTTGCCGTTGCGAATGATGGTTTCGGATTCGGTTTGGGTTGTTGTTTTTTTTTTTTTGAAAATTATACGCTTCTTTGATTAATGTGTTTTTCCTCACTTGCCGCATTTCGCAATTGCATTGAGCACTTGTCGGCACGCAATCCACGCCATGATGATCATCACCATTCTCTCTCATGATCGCCATAAAGAAACAGGTGAAAAAGTTTTTAATCGTTCCGATTAGATGTAATTTCGTCAAAATTCAATGTTTTAATATAAATTGATTGTTGTTGTTGTTGCTGCTGCTGCTGTGTTATTGGATTTCGTGGCCGGTATTTAGCGTTAACAAATGTTTTATTTTCTGCCAACATTTCGAGCCTTTGTGATAAATGAAAATGTTTCTTGTTTTATGGTGAAGCTTGGAAAAAAGTGAATGGGGTCCGTGAGAATTGATTATGCGAATAAATATTTGCTTTAAAGTTATTTTTTATTGTTTATTAAATGTTAGCAATTTAGTTGTTTGTTTGTACTAATGGTGAATCTTTATTCAACAAAGAAGATTAATTGGCAACGAAGATGAAGAAATACTAAGAACCATATATGCCCGTAGATTACAAAAAAGCTCAGTGTCCCGACAGATAGTTACCATTTAGGTAAGCCCTTTTTCGGAGGCGTACCAAAAAGGTTGGACCTTTCTATGAAAAGTACAATTTTTATTAAAAATTTGAAAAAAAATTTTGAAGAAAATCGAAAACTCATTTTAAATTTTACTAGAGTTTTTGACGAGGACTCAACAGGGTGAGATGAAAAAACTGCAACCATCTTCAGACTGTTGTCATTTCTAAGGCACTCGTCCGACAGCTGTTAAAATTATTCCAGTGACAAGCGTACAAAAGCATTTTGGTGGGAATTTTCCAGGAAAAAGTTCTTCGTGATGGAATTCAAGCGTGATAGTGTTATTTCTTTATATTTGGCTGGAAAACCACAAGTGGCTATGGTTAGAGCACTCCAGCATTTAAATGTGATTTATACCATCGCTGGTAGCGTAGCCCGACGTCGAGGAAGTGGACGGAAGAAAACAGCAACATCAGCAATTTCTGTTCGAAAAGTAAAAAAGGACTTGATCGAAACCCGCGTTGCAGCGGCCGAAAAATGGCTCGTGAGCTGAAAATATCGCAATATTCCATTCGGCAAATATTGAAAAATGAGCTCGTGGTAAAGCCATTGAAATTCCAAAAAGTTCAGGAACTTACACTGCAACCGAAAGAAAATAGTCTCAAGAGGGCTAAAGAGTTGCTTCGCTTGGCCGAAAGTGGTGAACTGCCGAATTTGGTTTTCTGCGATGAGAAAATATTCGTTGTCCAGCAGTTTGTAAACAAACAAAATAATCGTGTTTACTTGCCAAAAAGGTCAGCTGAAAATGTGCACCTTCGGTTGGCCATCAGAACTCAAGCGCCGGCCATGGTGATGGTGTGGGCCACCATAACAGCCTATGGTTGCTATCCGCACGTATTAATCGACCGTGGCATCATAATAAATGCATAAATAAATGCTGGAGGGTGTATAAAAGACTTGGGCACGCAAATATTTTGGCCGAAGACCTTGAATATTCCAAAAGGACTCAGCACGCGCCATCCAAGAATGGTTACAAAATGAGGTTCCTCGCTTCATTTCCAGCGCATAATGATACCTATACGTTGGTCTGGAGTATTTTGGAAAGCTATGTTAGCACTAAAAAGTCCCAAAGTGTCGATCACCTCAAGCAAGCGCTTCACCGGGAATGGACCAAAATACCGCAGTTCAACATTCAGGCAGCTTTTTACGGTTACCAATTCGAACAAATCTAAACTTATTCTAAAATTTGATGCTATTTCCTATATTTTTTGCTTTCATGCAATAAAATTTAAAAAATTTAAAAATTATGGCGTTTGACTTTGTTGCATTTTTTTTTTCTCACCCTGTATGGGAAACGATTTTCAACAAATGTCGTATTTACGATATCGATAAAATTTGTCAGAGCTATTTCTCAGCTGTATCTGATATCTTATACCAAATATCATTGTCGTGATTTGTATATTACGAATGAGAGGGACTAAAACACCAACTCAAATGAAATACATATGGGTGCTATATCCAAATCTGAACCGATTTTGATGAAATTTGGCAGAGGTATTTCTGAGGTATATATGTTGTCTGGTTTTATATGTCATTTTTGTGGGGTGCATATTGGGAATGTGAAGTATTTAAACACCAAATCGAATGAAACTAATATATGGGAGCTATAGCTGTATTTAAACCGATGTTCACCAAATTTGAAATACTTGCCGACATCCATCCCATTTGGGGGAATATAACCCATCTGGCGCTATATCTAAATCTGAACCAAAATTGCCAGATATACTTTTGAACTGAACGTGGCCATGTGAGCTAAAATAAATTTGAATAGGACTGATATTACGCATTTGATGCACAATACTTATGAAATCGGACAACACTAAAGGGTTTCCCTGGGCCAAACAAAATAAAAATTTTCGGACATAATCCCTTTCGGAAAAAATCTATTCTTCTTTATATTTATCCCTTCAATTCAATTGTTTTTAAACTTGGATGTTGTCCAAAATTATTAATAAAGCGAATTATTACAAAAAATGTATAAATTATTGTTTTACATGATTTAAAAAAAACTAAGAGAAATTGGGCTGGTGAGCGAGGTCTGCTTTTGAGCAGCGCTGGTTTAAGGAATTTTGACTCCTGCATTTGCCTTTTCTCCCGTTTGTTTGTTGGTTGTTGCTCCTTAAATTTACATCAATGGACATAAAATAATCCTTGATTGTGGAGTAACGGCAATTGTGAACATTTGCCATGAATTTGAAGTCAAGACTGAATTTTGACGTTGTCTAAAACTCTACTGTTTTTGAGCTCAAAATACACTTGGGAAAGTTCTTCCATCTATAGGAATTTGTAAGTGTATCATCTATCTTAAACCTATTTGTATCTATGAATACTAAATTACAAATTTCTCTCAGTGTAAAGGTAACATGCATTCCAAGCAGAAAACAGAAACGTTTCATTTAATTGTTTATTTATGCCAACCAAATAAAAAGAGAACTCACCACTGTTGGTGGCAACGGTCGATCCATTGCTATTGATATTCATCGATGATAGGTTGGTGGTTCCACCAGTAACTGCTGCACCACCACCACCGCCGCCGGCACTGCTGCTGCCACCGTTACCACTGTTACCCCCACTACCACCAACAACAGCATTGTCAACACAGTTCATGCCACCGGTACTATTGTTGGCCATGCCGGCGGCAGCCGTCGAACTGTTTGAATTTGTGTTTATGTCCGCTTGTGACGTTGTCATATTTGTCTTCTTCGTTTCTTTGTTGCTGTTCTGACCCTACAAAAACGGCACTCCCTTGTTATTTGTTCTATCTACCGCCTTACGTTTTTTTTTTTATGTTGAAGTTTGTTTTCTTTGTGCCACGGTTTTGCCTTTTTTTTTTGCAAAGTCTTGTAGAACAGTTTTTTCCCTCGCCAAACTTGTCTAAATAAGCTAAGAGGAAATAAACAAGTTTTTTTTTTTTTGCTTTTCTGTACTTGTAATGATGGCCAACAACAATAAATGGGAGAAGAATTTGGTTGGCAGAAAAAAACAAGCGAAAACCAAAACAAAAAAAACGAGACAAATGAAAACGCTAACTGGGATAAAATAGTCAGTCAAGTTAGTTCAGAAGTAACAGCTATGAATTTGTAAACGGCGGAATGTAGGAATGTTTTCAAGATGTTCTTTTTGTTGTTGCTGTTGGTGGTGGTGATCAGTATTATTTGCATTTATTGTTGTTGTGGTTGTTGCTGGTGGTACGTAGCTTGGCAGCTGCTGTTTGGCTTAAACAGATTTTTGCATATTTTCCTTTATTCGATTCGAGCGTACGTGTGTGGGGTTAGTTAGAAGAATTGGTATTGAAGAATTCGATTCGCACTAGTGTTCGTCGTTCAGTGGTTTTGATTTCGGCTCATTTTTGTTGTTGATGGACGGAGTGATTTCTTTGTCTGAAATGAAAAACAAATAAAAAATTAATTATGTTATTTTTTTTTAAGAAATTAATTAATGGTGTGGGAATATACAGTTCACATTTAAATTGTACAATGAAGAACACTTTAAGAAAAATCAGCTTTAACTAAAATAAAACAAGTTACACATTTTTTAATTCGGTCGGGACGAACTTTTAATAGCCTCCACCATGAGTTAAAGATACCCTTTAAAAAAGTATCGCGATGCAATACTCCAACGAATCCTATTTAAAACTGAAAATACCAACGAAATCGGTTGGATAATGCAGTTATACTCTTTAAAATGGTGAATATCTGAAGGTATGAGGACTATAGGAAAACGTGACATATGTTTACATTGCCCACTCTAAATACAAAATAGAAACCCATTAAGTTTAAAAATGTGGCTTAAATCGTCGCATTACCGAGTATCGGTCTGTAATATGATATGGGGGCTATACAAAAACTTGGACCGACATGACACATCATAAACTGGACGTGTCTATTGACAAAAACACATATTTTAGTATTTTATCTCAATTGGTTCAAAAGATAACGTGATTATAAGAAGGACCCCCAATATCTATGCATACAGGGTGAGATGAAAAAAAAAACTGCAACCAACTTCAGACTGCAGTCATTTCTAAGCCACTCGTCCGACAGCTGTTAAAATTATTATAGTGGCAGCTCATTATATTGTTTACAAGCGTGAAAAACCATTTTCGTGAGAATTCTACAGTTATTCGCGGTGGAATTCAAGTTATGGTCAAGCTGATAGTGTGATTTATTTATATTTGGCTGGAAAACCACAAGTAGCTATCGTTAGAGCACTCCAGCATTTATATGTGAATAAATCTTTTGCGTCTCGTACCATCGCTGGTAGCATAACCCGACGTTAAGCAAGTGGACGGAAGAAAACAGCAACATCAGCAGAAATGGTCCGAAAAGTAAAGAAGGACTTGATCGAAACCCGCGTCGCAGTGGCCGAAAAATGGCTCGTGAGCTGAATATATCGCAATATTGCATTCGGCAAATATTGAAAAATTAGCTCGGGGTAAAGCCATTGAAATTCTAAAAAGTGCAAGAACTTACAATAGAAAGAAAATAGACTCAAAAGAAATAAAGAGTTGCTTGGCTTGGCCGAAAATGGTGAACTGCAAAATTTGATTTTCTCCGATGAAAAAACATTCGTTGTCCAGCAGTTTGTAAACAAACAAAATGATCGTGTTTACTTGCCAAATAGGTCAGCTGAAAATGTACACCTTCGGTTGGCCACCAGAACTCAAGCGCCGGCCATGGTGATGGTGTGGGCCGCTATAACAACCAACGGTCGCTCTCCACTCGTATTAATCGACCGTGACATCAGAATAAATGCCGAATATTATCGAGAAAATATTCTGAAGGGTGTATTAATACCTTGGGCACGCAAACATTTTGGCCCCAGACCTTGGACATTCCAACAGGACTCAGCACCATCGCATTTAGCACGCGTCACCCAAGAATGGTTACAAAATCAGGTTCCTCGCTTTCTTTCCAGCGCACAATGGTCACCAAAATCTCCGGATACCAATCCGTTGGACTTTTGTGTCTGGAGTATTTTGGAAAGCAAGGTTGGCACTAGAAAATACCAAAGTGTCGATCACTTCAATCAAGCGCTTCGCTGGGAATGGACCAAAATACCACAGAGCAACATTCGGGAAGCGTGTGACGGTTTCATTGGCCGTTTGAAGGCCATAATTCGTGCCAAAAGTGACCAATTCGAACAAACCTAAGCTTATTCTAAAAATTGATGCTATTTTCGACATTTTTTGCTTTCATTAAATAAAATGTACAAAAAAATGTAAAAATTATGAAGTTTGACTTTGTTGCAGTTATATCTATATATATAAAAGAAAGTTGTGTTATTATTTGATTTTAACGATTCGAAAAGGATAATATCCAAAAAAATCGCGTAAAAATGTGATATATTAACATTTTCACTTTGACTTTTGAAAAGTACAATAGTAATGTTTTAATTCGCATGATTTTTTCCATATTGACTTACTTTTTTCTAATGTACATTTGTAGTGTTTTTTATATTTTATTTTTGAATTCGAATATTAATACCAATTTATTTAATTGACTTGATTTCTTGAGAACTGAAATTGATGGCGGGTTACATGGAAGTGTAGTACCGAATTATGTGGTGGCGCAACGGAATAGATTATATCGAAATAATTTATCGTGGTCACACCAAAGTTAAAAGATAATTACTTTTTCAAAATCGCTAAAAAATCACCAAAAAGATATCTAAAAAAAAATAAATAAATAAATAAAATAAGTTCGAAATACAATGTTAACTGACATCTACTTTTCAACTCCAGGGCCTATATTGTGGTTCAGCTGAAAGATGCGAACACATTTAAACAAACAAAAATGACCGAAAAAAGCCTAATGGGGCTCATTTCAAATCGTGGACCTACTTCTTTCATATCCTTCCAGATATTCTTCCCAAACATTCAAGATACCTTAAATCGCGTTTGCAGGTCATGATATCGATAACTCACGGATAAGGGTACAACCCGATTTCATATTTATATAACCATAGTATAATTTAAGCTATATTTGGGGTCTTGGCCACTTTTTTCATTTTTGGCCCTTATTTGGCAACTTTTGTTTCTAAAGGGGTAGAGAATCTCCTAGCATAAAATTTGAAATTTTCAGAGTAGGACCCATATTGGCATTGACCAGATTCATCAATTGATTTGGCTAAAAAAATCTATTTATGCTACCCTGGGGTAGGGAACCATCAATCATCCCCACATTGGAGTATCCCCAAGTCCACTTTTACATCTAATGTGTGGTCAGAAAAGAAAATTTTGTATTCTATGGAATTTGTAAGAGAATATTGGTTGGGAACGTAGATTTGGGATGTACTCTATATGAAATAAATTGTGGAAACATGAGCAAATTACAAAAATATAAGAAAGTAGCACGGAACCGAATATATGTTGAATCGTCATTGAATTATACTATGATGAAAAATATGAACTTTATGGGGTCTCCAACTTACAATTTAAATGGCAAATAAAATTAATTTCCAGTTTTTTATATAGTTGTTCGAAAAGTACAAAGTGGTTCACAATTGAATTGAAATATGAAGTTGGTTTCGGAAGTATGTAATATAATAGTACGAAAAGTACTAAGTCTTTTATGTGCAAGACGTAATTATTTTTCGATAAAGAAAAACATGAATATGAAAAAATATATGGTAACAGCTGCAGCTGAAAAGTTAGTATGATGTATAATTTTGTCCAAGAAATAATTCCGTTATTTCGATTAGAGACATTTTTGCCGTATCAAACGATATATACCCTATGTTGTCATAAGGCGGAATAAATGAAAAAAGGTTTTAAATATTAAAATTAAGGTCGTCTTTGTCAAAATTTCTTCTTGACATACCGCAGAAATATTACAAATAAATTAATATTTTCGAAACCCTACCCAAAATATATTCAAAACTGGTTTTAATCTTTCAAATTTCTAGACAAACGTATTGCGTAGAAATTTGTTTAAATTGTAATCAAAGAAATTTCCATTTGAGAAATTGAATATAAAATGAATGTATTTATGTCGGTCTTTTCTAAATGACTACACACATAATGAAAACAATTTAGTAAATGTATCTATAACACCTGTTTTAATGAAAATGTATCTATATATTTTAAAATAATCTTAATTTGAAGAAGATTGGCGCCCAAATGACTTGTATCACAAAGATTGTGTACATGATATCATATTTGCAATTCCCCCCGAAAATATTACCCCGTATCAATTCTGACACACCTTGGACACACCTCGCTACCACAGAACTTCCCCATACCCCATTCACCTAATTCCAATCACATTTGCCGAAAAGGAAAAACAGAAAATTAGTTTCACTGCCAAAAATAATTTTCCTCACTAGATTGTGAAGTGTTGTTTGAAACACATATCCCTGTTGCTCTTCGAGATTATCGCCTTCAAATGAAAGTTGATTTGAAACATAAAATAAAATTGGATTTTCTCCAAAAGAAATCTTACAAAAAGCAATTATCAACATAACTGTTGCATTTGGTGGGCGACACTAACAGGTAGTTTTCAAACAACTTCAGCTCTTTGAAGCCACACAAGTTGTTTTCAAAAGTTGATAGCATAGCTGTTGTTCAATGTCAAATCAAATGCTTTTAATGTCACTGTCACAAATGTTTATTAATTAGCGTTAATTGACATTGACAACGGTTTACACTGCGCCACTTGTCTGCTGCTATCATATTCTTGATTTCCTATTAGAGGTGTTGTTGTTGGTGTATCTGTTAATTGCTCTAATTTATTGGGCTTTTGAAGTATTTTTTAATTTTTGAAAAGAATTAAAAAACAACGAAGACCCTTCGGCAAGATCATACAGAGTGATATTCCACAATTATGTATCTGTACTACAACAGTTTTTGAAATTAAACAAGTAAAATAGTAGTTAAATTCGGCCCGTTTGGAATTTCAGTACCCTCAACCATTTGCAAAGTAACTCTTTTAAAAATATGTCTATAAGAATCGAAGGCCAGGATTTGAGAGGTATATGTTGTTTTTTTTTTAATTTTATTGAATGAAAGCAAAATAAATCGGAAATAGCATAAAATTTTAGATGAAGTTTAGATTTCTTCCAATTGGTCACCTTTGGCACGAATTATGGCCTTCAAACGGCCAATAAAACCGTCACACGCTGCCCGAATGTTGCTCTGCGGTATTTTGGCCCATTTCCGGCTAAACGATTGCTTGAGGTGATCGACACTTTGGTATTTTTTAGTGCCAACCTTGCTTTCCAAAATACTCCAGACACAATAGTCCGACGGATTGATATCCGGAGATTTTGGTGGCTATTGTGCGCTTGAAATGAAGCGAGGAACCTCATTTTGTAACAATTCTTGGATGGCTGAATGCAATGGTGCTGAGTCCTATTGGAATGTCCAAGTTCTGTAGCCAAA